AAAAAAAAAAAAAAAAAAAAAAAAAAAAAAAAAAAAAATTTCCTTCTTACTTTTTAATGAAAGCCGCGCCTCTCTCTCGAAGAAAAAAGACTCTCTCCAAAAATTCTTTTACACATTATTTCAACATCTGTTTGTATCACTTTTTCTCTTAACAACTTTGCTTTTATTTTCTCTCTTCAGTGAAGACAACAACCTTTGTTTTAGCAACTGCTTGTTACTCAATCGCAAATAAAGAGCATTTGAACAAAAAAGAGTGGATTTGTCTCGTCTATTGTTTATTGATGACAAGAGAAACTCCGCATTTTATCTTATCAACGCGCTAAAAGATAGATCTCACGAAAATACGCATAAATTATTTGAAAGATGAATGGCAGAGAGAATCGTGCCTACGGGCACAATCTTATAAGTAGTTCTAGCGCCACTAAGAATTTAAAGGATGAACTTTCAAGGGTAAGTCTATTTGTGACATATTCTCGTCTACATATTTACGTATATATTTACGTATGTATACATGTGTGATTGTATTAAATATAGGTCAAAGTCATTTATATAATACAAGTATCTCTGCATTTAGCGGCAGTGAAGCAGTTTCAAAAGTATTTGGTCCTGACAACATAGATAGATAGAAAACCAATGTAAATGCGATCATGGTTTAAATGAACTAATATATAAGATTTGCTTTGATATTTCAATCTTTTATACCCTACACCGTTTGTGGTATAAGGGTATATTAAGTTTGTGCGGATGTACTTTGTGTTACAATGAAGTATTTGGAATCATTTTCTGATTCAACCTAAACTTGTCTTGTCATTTTGTCTCAACCTCCAGACCACAATTTTTGAGATCGTTTAATGCAATCCGGAATTTGAAAATAAACGTCATATTTTGACCCAAGCAGAAAGGCAATTGAAAATGCCTCGAATCGGATCACCTTATCGACCACTTCCCATACAAAGCTCTATTTTTAAAAATACTTATATAAAGAATTGTAGGGTGTTGTAGGGTATCTAATGTTAAAAGTCCGAGTCCCATTACAGTGTTTCCACTTGTTCCTAACTTATATTATATACGAAAGTATGTTGAAAATTTTTTAAAGAAGTCTTTGGACATTGGTGTGCTTTTATAAATGCGATACAATGGTTCCTATTAATTGCCTTGCTAAATATACTACTACTACTTTCTAGATGAAAAAGACATTTTTTTTGTAAGCCGAAGGGATATGAAAATTGTGCTGATGACGATATTTTAGGATATTTTAGATAAATAACAAAGAAAAGCTTACTTGCTGAAACAAAACAGCTGATACCCGCTTCTTCGCCAAATTGAAGAGCAATACTATGGGATAGGATAGCTTCGATCAATGTCTCAGAAAAATAAGCTTAACCTAGATTATATTTATTGGAGCTACCTATCATATGAATTAGATTCACTTAACCATTCTTTGCTTTTGCGAGAAAAGGACATAAAGTCCTTAAGGGAATTCTTTTAAAGGTCATCTACTCTATTCTCGTCTGTTCTTTAATGTTCGCCTTTGCAACGATCTGCCTTGCCGTGCCTTCCTCCAACAATTCAGAAATTCCAAAGTTCCTCACTCATCTAGTTACAAATTCCATTTGACCACGACCGTTCCAAGACTACTGTAAGGAAGAACCTACTGGTGATGTAAAAAACAATACATACTTTAACTACTGACGAAAACATCAGCAAATGGCCTTCGATCACTACCGAACTAAGTTGGGAAAGGAACGTGTCTAGTTTTTCAGCGAAAGAAAGCAAGAGGAGGAGGAGGAGAAGAAGAAGAAGAAGAGAAGAAACCATTTAGAAAACCGCAAACTGATTCTTGTAGGAGAATGCGTTGATGAAGCTTTGCGATTGGAACATTTCAGTTATTCATCTGACGATCATCTCTAAAATAAGAATTTATAAGGGAAGTGGTCGAGAAAGCGGTGCAATCTGAACCATTTTCAATAGTGTTCATCCTTGGGCCAAAACATGTCTTTGTTTCAAGTTTCACCAAAATGCCTCGAGAATTGCGACCTGCACGTTGAACGCAAAAAGAACAAGACGAACAGACGTATAAACAGTAATAAAAGGTGGATCTATCTCAAGTGCTTCTGAGTATTGCATATATCTGCACAAACGTAATATACTCTTTATTTCAGGGAATCAAATTTCGTGACAAAAAGAAACAAAATGTCTTTAAAAGTTAGTTGAGTAAGAAAATATGCAAATTAAATGATAATGAATCAAGGTCCAACCAATCGTGCTAACAAAATCCAGTAAGTAAATGTCCAAGTAGTCGCGCTTGCAAAAGATTGCTTTGATGAACACCACTGATCGAGGAAATAAAAAAAATTCTGACTTGTTAAACCAGAAAACAACATAAGATTCTGTTCAAAGAATGCTTAAAGAGACAAATGTGAATGTAAAACGTAAAGATATTGCGCTTTATGTCAATCTTAACATGCGGACCCTCACGTTTTCTTAATAAAAAATTGCAATGCAACGGCAAGACAAGCCTCCAATAAACGTATAATCAAACCGGTACAATTTTTAACTACATATTTAATGTCAATTAATTCATTTATGGTAATGAACTCGTATATAGACATTGGATTGAGATAATTTGTCTTTGTAATTGTAGTAAACTATTCCCAAATACCTTAGACCTTTCAATTGCTCGATCCACAAAGTGAGCTATTTGTTTAAATCTTTAAACAATCAGCAGACACGTGCAAAAGTGTTAAAATTATTTAAAAAAGAAAAAAATATTATAAATATCTTTACAAGTTTTTATAAAACTCACATCACTCAGAGATTCCCAAGTCAAGTGCCGTTCGGCGTAAAGGCAAACAAGAGTGAGTGGAAGTCATCGTTGAAAAATCGGAACCACAAAGAAATACAAAAATTCGTAGGTAAATCGCAAATTTGGAAATAGACATGTCGCAGGTCAACATTATTTGCACGTATTCACCACGGAGGGTTATCAAATTTCTTAAGTGTTTATCAGGCGTTGAAATATGTATTGTTCATTAACGTTCAATAACGGCATCTATTTAATTGCCGTCCGTACGCCTTCATAAGCGTTGCTGTGGGTGTAGGCGTCCTTGTCTATTGACAAGTCTATATGACATGCCTATTGTCAAATTTTCGATTTACGTACGAATTTTTAAGAAAATTTGTGTTGCCTTGGGCTATTGTACATACTTTGCCCTACCTGAAGTTTTTTCTGGCCCGTAATTTTTCATGGAAGACAAACCACTATTATGCGGACTCTCCTACCCCTTATAAGTTTTCTAATGAAACGTAAGCTTTAGGGATCTCGTAAGTAGGTAAATGTAAGGATCTTGGTTTTGGCAAATCATTAGGAAAATAGTTGCGGAGATGTATTAAAAGAAGTGTGCTATGTGGTATTTAACTATCAGCTTGTCAGCTTAAGAGTAAACGTTGCTCGAGAAAACTATACTACAGATATTAACAATGCGCTCGCTTAACGTGGGCCCTTATAATCCCTAGAACAATTAAATAGATTCACATACGATTCACTCCACATATATACACATCGCAAGTTGAATAAACATTTAACCCGAACGAGGGAAACAATTTGATTCGTGCCAACAGGGTACCGCTATGAATATGAGTCGGAAATCTCTGCTAGAATGTAACAATATAATGTATTAACTAAAAGTTTATGTATATATAAAAGGTAATTTGCAATGCAAATTATATTATTTACGGTGCAGTTGATTACATAACAGTGTAAGATTATGGATAAGTGAATGGATAGAAGGAATAAAGTTTCTAGTCAAATATAACCTTAGCATCAAAGCTAAAGCCACTTGACCAAAATATTAAGGACATTCAATATTTAATTCGTATTTTCTTGCCACAAACGTAAATTGTCCTTCGTTTTAGAAAAATTATTTGTATTAACCTTATACTTGACGTGACTAGAAAAAAAAAATTTTCCATAACTAGGGAGTTAATTATATTAATATTATATTCTCATAAAATTAGATTCAATTAGTTGCTTATATGGGAAGAAGAAACATTGTGTTTGTGCTGGATGTAGCAACACATCAGGCCCGTCTAGATAACGATGCATAAATTTTTTTTTTTCTTTTTTTTATACATATTTGTTTTTAATTATAAAGAGTAAATTAATCAGATAATTATTAGAAATATATTCAGAAACATTCTTATAAAATTGAATAACTTAAGAAACAACCAAGAGTCGTAACATAAACCGGAGCAAAGTCGAAGTGATGCTCGGTATGTTGCTCAGCTTTCATGCAAGTCGTATAAGCATTTGATTAATAATAAAAAGAGATTGTTCAGTCCCCTTAATAAATATTTAATACAATCCGGGTTTAAGTAGCAGTATTTGTTAAGCTTGATAACGTTCAACATAAGCGGTCTTTTCATAAAAATCTTTTAAATATTAATTCTACTCTTTCTTTACGAATTTTATTGAAAAAAAATCTTCAGGAGGATCAATCTTATCAAAATAGTTTGACTTCATCGACAGCAGCAAACACTTTCGATAAAAGTCTGCCAGAGGATCCATTCTTCCTACCGCCATCTTCAAATAGCTCATCACAGTTTCTCGCGCCGCCTAAAAGACAAAGGAGTCCTGGTATATTTGAAAGAGAGTTTCCTTTAAATTATGGTCTCATTATACAAGCGGATGACATCAATGAGCCGCCATTGCCAGTAAATAAATCGAGAATCACTTCACATGAAAAACCAACACCGCTACCACTACCACCACCTCAGCATTTTATACAGCGTAACGCTAACTCGATACCTTCAGATGATTTACAACGCAGTCATCAATCCTTAAGAGGTTCACGAATATCCTTTGAAAAAAAAGTTGATGATGAAAGCAGTGACGAAGACACTTTTGAAAAACGTCGCCTAGGCTATCAAAAACAAAAGGCTCTCAGCGTAGATCAAAAAGGCATATTGAGGGTCAGTGCAACAACGCTTCAAACGCTGTAGAAAGAAACAATAATGTTCATTTCTATATCAATTCTTTTCAGGATCTTAAAACTATCCTAGCTAATGATAATCGTCGACAATATCAGGCCAAAAAGCATGTATCGCTGGACGTCAAAGGCACTGGTTACTTGCGTGATTTGTTAAAGGATTCCTCATCTGAAGAGGAGTTTCATAAGACACGCTGCGAATTTCAAGGACGTAAACATCAAAGCTTAGATTCGCGGGTTACATTTAATTTGGAAAAAGTTCTACAAGGCTCCAGTACCGATACCGACGACGAAGTAGATGATGCGGAACATAAACGATTATTACATCGACCTAAAGACATAACTAAACCGGTTATAATCGATTTAAAAAATCTAGTGCCAAGTGACGAAAGCGAAGAGGATTATTCACTGAATCGGCAAAATTTCCAGCAGCAACGATCCATTAGTAACGACTCAAGGAAAAGGTAAAGCAAATGAAAAGATGTAAAACCAAAAGCAAACTGAATTAATTGATTCAATTACATTGAACAGTTACCGTGTTTACGAAATGGATGAAGCGGGTCATATGAAAGGTGAAAACTTACGCAATACGGTGCCATTTGTACGACAAATAACGGAAGATGGCAAACCAAAATTAGAAGTTTATCGTCCCACCACAAATCCTATATTCATATGGACTCAGGTATGCTTATGTGAATAAATGATTTAAACGCTATAATGACACATGACCCACCATTACACTGCTTTAGATCACTGTATTTAATGCAGTTATCCACATGGCGACTGCTTAAAGTAATTTTTTATGTGGGAAGTGGTTGAAAAAATGGTTCAATCCAAAACGTTATCGATAACATTCGTCCTTGAGAAGAAACCAAATTTGTTCTTGTAACAAATTTCATCAAAATATGCTAAAAATTGCGACCTGTAAGTCGAACTACAAGTAAAAAGACGGACGGACGGATCGGTATAATAAAAAGTCAATCTCAAGTCCTTCCGGCTATTGCATACGTTCGCATAAACTTAATATATACTTACACCACAACTGGTGTAGCGTACACAAATTGTTAGGAAATTGTTAGATATGAATGAAATTAAACGATAATAATTGAAATTCCTGCTGTTTTGCTTAAATTATTAACAAAAAAAATGTTTGCTGATCAAGAATCAATTAATTGATTAAAAAGCGGACGTCAAAAAGCGCGCGATCATTACAAAGAAAAAGTGAATGAGAAGGTTTCCAAGCGATTGTCTACATCATTATGCAGATGTAATTTGAACTTTTAACTTTTACTATCAGCTAAAAGTTTCTTAGATAGAGTAAATCCTTCAAGTTTTCTTAGTTAAGAGACGCTTAGCATAAAACAGTTGAAAAGTACTTTATTCTGCACAGCATTTTAATCAAAAAATCCAAAAAAATAATATTGTACATTAAGGGGGTTCATGATATTTTCTGCAAAATCTTATAAAATGATAACTTTTGCTTGTCGGTTTACATTCATCACGAGGGCGGAGTGTTAAGTTTCTCATATATATAAAATTGTTTCAAATTTCAAATTGATTACTTTGTATAAAGAAATCTATTTACCCATGCCTGTTCGGCAGAGAACCGCTTTCCTGGCTATTGAACTCAGAATTATTGATTTTATGCGCAATTACTGTTAATGCTTTGGCTATATTATGGCACGATTTTGGCACTCCAATGGGCTAATACTGAAGATTTAGGGGCGCCATCAAGCTGATGTATTGCACGCTCCCCTTGCCATTGGTGACCTTTTCAGATATTAGCCACCCTTGCCGTTCTGTCGGTCAAAGACGCGGTCGCGATTCAACTCCACACTCGGAGCAGAAGTACTTTTTTCGCGACTAAAGTTTACACTCCTCACAGGTGAAAACAGTATAGCAGTGCAGGATCATTTCTATTTTAAACAATGTAACCCCTCACACAAGTACTCTTCTCACTACCATACTTTCGACTCCGATCAAAGCACATTTTCATTCATTCAAAAATCGCATTACAAAAATGATAGTACAATTCTCTTTATGTGCCAGCAAAGCCACTCGCAAATTGAAGCAAGGCTAACTTATTTGTGATCAATTTTTATAAGCTTTACACAATGCCATTGATATCGTTTCGTGCCTGTCGGGCATAAGCTCAGTTAACCTAATTGCTTAAGTAAAATGAAGTGATTAGGATTAGCAATTAATTTGTTTAGGATTGGGTCGTAGTATCAGCAAAATTGTAGTCTCTCACGGTGTACTGCAAGTCGCTCTTTTACTTTTAATACTGATAACGGTATGACGAAAGACGCACATGTGATGGCCAACATCATGGATCGTGAACGCATCATTTAAAAATTATAGTGAAAAGATAACAAAACCTGGTGAAACCAAAATTTGGATTCGTATCACCGTAAAATAATTGTTTATCTGATCAAGAACCGCTTTATCACCATTCAGTTACGTTTTTCTTTTGTTTGGACGTTTCTCAGTTTTCAAGCAAAATAATTCATACCTTCGACTTGGATTTTCTCTTTCTTTTGAAAAGCTACACTTGACAATTCGTTCAATTACCTTCTGATAAGAAAAGCAACGATTAACCAAATCTGCATTTTACTGTTACCGTATGCACCGTTCACTTCAATGTTTAGTTGTACTCAGGAAGTCGTGGCATTAAATTGAATTTTATTCGCTTTGTGTTGAAAAGCAGGCAAACTTTATATTGTAAGAAAGCTAAGCTAAGCTTTCCTTCTATTACAATTGATTGCAATTATTTCCCGCTAAAGTCTAAAGTTGAGATTTCCAAATGTTTGTAAAAACAGGAAAAGTGCAAATTTTTATGCGAGCGGACACTCATGTGTCCTTTCACGTACCAGCAGATCAGCCTAAAGCTAAATGTACCTTTACGCAGGTCTTTAAAACTATATATATATATATATATACTTTCTTTCCATTAATGCATAATTTTATGTTGTTGAATCTTTGCAGGTCTTAGCAGCTTTTAGCGTATCATTAGGATCATTAGTAGTAGGTTTCTCATCGGCTTACACTTCGCCCGCCTTGGTATCCATGACAGATGGTAACGTCACCTCATTTCTTGTAACGGAACAATCAGTAAGTTAAACTTTTGACTGAATTTGAAAAATTATTATGGTTTCTAAATTAATTTGATTTTTAGGGTTCTTGGGTCGGTGGTATAATGCCTTTGGCTGGTTTGGCTGGCGGCATAGCAGGTGGTCCTTTGATCGAGTATTTGGGAAGGCGGAATACTATTCTAGCCACAGCTGTACCTTTTATAATATCTTGGCTTCTAATAGCTTGTGCTGTTAATATAGTGATGGTGTTGGCTGGACGGGCTTTAGCTGGATTTTGTGTTGGCATTGCTTCTTTGGCTTTGCCAGTGTACTTGGGCGAAACGATACAGCCGGAAGTGCGTGGAACTTTAGGTTTATTACCTACTGCTTTCGGCAATGTTGGTATACTATTATGCTTTACGGCCGGCACTTATATGAATTGGTCAATGCTGGCTTTCTTGGGAGCTGTTTTGCCAGTACCATTTCTAATACTTATGTTTTTAATACCGGAAACTCCGCGTTGGTATGTCTCGCGTAAAATGGAAGACAACGCTCGCAAAGCTTTGGTATGGTTGCGAGGCAAACAAGCCGACGTTGATCCAGAACTTAAAGGTCTTGTACGCAGTCAAGTTGATGATGATCGCCAAGCAACCACAAATCAAATTTCTGAGCTATTTAAGCGTAACAATCTCAAGCCATTATCTATTTCTTTGGGTTTGATGTTTTTCCAACAGTTCAGCGGCATAAATGCCGTTATTTTCTATACTGTTTCGATTTTTAAAGATGCCGGCTCCACGATTGATAATAACTTATGCACGATTATAGTGGGTTTAGTTAATTTTATAGCCACATTTATGGCCACCGTGTTAATTGATAGATTGGGTAGAAAGGTAGGTATTTTTTTAAGACCAAAAATATAATTTTTTCTTCAAACAATCCTTGCTTTGCAGGTTCTTTTGTATATTTCGGATGTGGCCATGATAATGACTTTATTTACGTTGGGCGGCTTTTTCTACTGCAAGGAGAGCGGAATGAATATCACCCAAATTGGATGGTTGCCTTTAGCCAGTTTTGTTATTTATGTAGTAGGATTCTCTTTGGGTTTCGGACCCATACCTTGGTTAATGATGGGCGAAATCTTACCAGCCAAAATAAGAGGAACAGCTGCCTCGGTGGCTACAGCTTTCAATTGGACTTGTACATTCATTGTAACCAAAACTTATCAGGACATGATAGGTCAGTGCAGCTGATAAAGGGCTTACAAGCTCAGATTTTATTTCATTGTTATGATTTCCTAGATTCGATTGGCGCTCACGGAGCTTTTTGGTTATTTGGCGTTGTTTGCTTCATTGGTTTGTTCTTTGTGATTTTCTACGTACCTGAAACCCAGGGCAAATCTCTGGAAGATATCGAACGTAAAATGATGGGTCGCGTACGCCGTATGTCGTCGTTAGCCAATATTAAACCGTTATCTTTTAACATGTAACAGATTTTAATGATAATTTATTGTTATTATTATTCCACTTTCTCACTTGACGAACATCTATCATCATTAACTTTATTTTTTTACTTGTTACATCCTCATCTCTACTTCGGATTTATTGTAAAGCCAAATATTAGTGCAAGTAATATTTAATCACATAATAATATAAAAAATTATACCATTTGTTTCTTTCTCCTCTCTCGCCCTTTCCATCCATTACAGAGTACTTAGTTGTTTTTATAATAATAATTTATTCGTAGTAAACAACGTGATTGTTGTTATTATAATATTTAAGGCATATATATATATATATATATATATACAGAAAGTTTTGAATATCGCAGTAGATTTTAATAAAAATTATAATGTAAAAAATTTAAAAACAAAAAAAGATAATTTTTTAAAGAACGCAAAAAGCATTAAATCATAAAACTAATTTCTTTTTGGCCAAAGTTTTGTTGGCATAACTCCTCAGCGTTTCGAAACGGCGAGGTAAATTTCTTAACCCATTTACAGCCCTAAATCGCTTTTTCTTTGTTATTATTTGTATTGATCAACATTTTGGGTTATTTACTTCTTAAAAACACAAAGCGGATAGCAATTCTTATCAGTGTCGAAGAACAGAACTTTTATTTACATGTAAATCTTAATATTTACAAGTAAATAAAATCAGCTTTCGTCATATATATTATCTCCAACTATGTAAAGGAATTGTAGATCACACACTAAGCTGGTGGCTAAAAGAAGAGAAGCCATTAAAAAAGTTTCAAATCGTGCAATAGTTTAATTGAACTTGCATACTCAACACACTTTGAGAGTATGTTAATTTTTTAACTTCATTCGTAGCAATTTTTAACGAGCTTTGCGTTACAGAAAGGTAACTTCAGACAATCGAAGGGAACGCAGTCTTATTGTTTTTGCTCGGTCTGTGATCTTTTCTTGAAAAGCTCAACACGGAAAGTTGAAACTTATTATACAAATACTCTGAGTTGATGGCTCGAAATCCAGAAAATTCGGACAAAAAATGTTTTTCAAAGTCCTATAACATTTTAGAGCAAATCACAAAAAGAAGAAGAAGGAAAGTAAACAAGCAAAAAAGCATCGACGTACCTTTGAAACCCATATTTCTCTATAAAAATCAATCTTCTGATAGAAATTTTTGCCGCAATAACTGTAGCAGTATTTCAACTCGCCTGTATGAAGTTTGTTACAATAAAATTCTATACAGACCGCCTTAGCGAACAGCGGCAAGAGGCAGTGTCCATCTAATTGTCCGTATACCGATGAAGAATTTGATGTTAGGTCGGGCGCCTCTTTCGATGGTTTTTGATTACGACAACGATGCGAAAATTAAACTTCAGCTTGAAAAACATTCAAAATTCCGCAAAACCTACAATTGAATAGCTGTTAGAACGACGTAACTTAATGCTGTTAGAGCAAAGGAGAAGTCACAACCGGCTTAAAGAGAATTTGGAAAGAGTCCCTCATTGGCTAGTGAAAGCAAGTGCTTTTAATGTAAAAAATACTCATAATGGTTTTTTTATTTTTTTAGCTATTGTAAGTGAATATGTTCATGACATTTGATTGACATGGATCGGGAATTTTACCAGCTGGATGCAAAAGTTTCTTCCTAAGATAATTATTGTTTTCTTACCTGCGTCAATTTTTATCTTTTTAAGCGCTTTTAGTTTTCGTGCAGTGTACAAAAATACTTCTTTGCTCGCTTTGGTTAGCAGACACTTTAGTATTCAAATGACCTGTGGCAAATTTCAAATAAGTTTTTGCTGTACTTAAGAAGTTACTGAGGAAGCTATTCTTTTCTTTATTTTTTTGGATTAGGACTTTTGCTTATGAAACCAGTATATTCAGTAGAGTGAGGATTTTTTCATATTTGTTGAGCGCTTGAGAAAGGAAACAAAGCCACCTTGCTTTAAATGCACACAGTTCCCGATTTATCATTTTCAATATATATTTTTTTTTCTTCAGAAATACCCTTTGATAAGAGGGAAACGGATGCTATTGGAAGAGTAATAAGAATACAATGGAATGCTTGTTTAACACTATTTTTTCTGTCGTCTCTTGATTGTTAAAGTCCTGGACGGGTTCCAACGCTCCAAAATACTAATAATAAATGCATGCACAATTCTTCTCTACTATGGAAAGTTTCAATGAAAACAAAACACAAACCAGCTCTTTTATTTATCACACAAGTAGGCACAATATAAATTGCAGAAACAAAAGAAAACATTTTAATGTTATTCTTACCCATAACTTGCACACGACAGATAGCACAAATATCACATTCAACGTCCCAGCTCCACATGCAAACAGCATTCCATTTTTTCAGGGTAAACATTTTTTCCGGCTTTGAGCCATCGTTATCCAATGAATTCTCATTCTCATTTTGATCATCCATCACGTTTTTGCACTCAAATAGGAAAACACTCTTGTAATTTATTCAAACACCTTGCTCGCAAATTTTTTAACAGATCTTTTCCCTTTTGCTTCTAACAATGTAAAAATAAACAAAATTTTTAAAATGCTTGCACGCACAACACAGCTTCAACATAAACACTTATTAGAAGAGCGCAGCAATAACAACAATAGAGATGCCAAGTCCTGAAAAATAAGTACTGCAATCTAAAATTAGTATTAAATTCTTATACTTTATATATTGGTAACACTGCAAAAACAGTTACTTCAAGGGCAAAACATTTTACAGTTATGATATAAAAGAAATATTTCAGAAAATAAGTAAAAACGGTCTAGGAAGCCACGGCCGACTGTAAATACGCGACACCATCCGACAGTTATTCATATAATGAACTTCAAATAAGATGTTATGGCAACTAGTCAGAGTACCGAATTTCACCAAAAAATATCTTAACAATTACGACCTGCAAATTGAACGGAATAAAAGAAAATAGACAGAGGAATAGACGGACAACTAAGCTTAAATCGCTTTCTGAATCGATTAGTACACGTAGTAGCATCCTTTTGGCGTTGCATACATCCATAAAATATAGTGTATTCTTGCATCTCAAGCGATGCAGAGTATAACAAAGCGACCAAAACGAAGTGATTGGTTTCGAAATGTTGAATGTAAAGTACACATGTCAAATCAAACAGTAAACTAAGTAAAATATTTAATTTACACTTTTAATTTACATTTTGGTCATTTGTAG